TAATGAGCAACCCTGTATAGGAAAGACATACAAATCCTGGAAAAAAATAATATTTTTAAAATCAGTAAAAAAGATCCTATTGATATGACTTAAAATATATTTTAATTCATTAAAAGAAATACTTTATCAAGTTTGACATTTCCTTGTTTTATATTGTTATTTTAAATTCAGATTTAAAAAAGTTGAGTAAAATTAAACAACTTTTGTGTTGGCCACTTTCACAATTCTTTGAAATGAACGATCTAGGGGGGTGTCAACTTATGAGAAAAACCCTGTACATGATTATTTGTTGCTTTAAAATTGATTAACTTTTTGGAATGTATGTGTAGAAATCAAAGTGACTCGTATATGTTAATTTCATATGGGTTTTATAGAAAATGTAAGTTCTATTTCCTTTTAAGGTGGCGCACAAGTGAAAGAAGAACAAGTAACAGCAGATGTCAAGAAAGAAGGCGAAGATCAAGAGGTATGTTTATTGATAGCGTTCAAAATACAAAAGAAAATAGAATAATATAATATTTGTCTAATTTTTATGATATTTCTATGAAGGGAACTAACTTTAATTTTGGGAAAGGATAATGCTTGTTGCGTTTAATTGTGCAGTATTCGTCTATTCTCATCAATTCATCACAGTTCAGGCATCGTGATTTCAAATTTCTAACTTGTTTTAAATTGTAGGGTACCTTAATTTTTGTTGGCTTGGCTTAAAAGATTGAACTAAATTGCATCGAATAAATCGATCATTTTAATGAGCCATTTCTTTTTGAAATGATCAAAACAGGCTAATTGATGTTATGTCAATAATAGATTCTTAGTTTTCACAGTTTTTAACAACTTTTTTGGTACGTCTAAACACATTTCATGAATAAAGTTTTTCTTATAAAAGTTAGGGCAAATCGTGTTCATTTGAGCCAAAGAATATCGCAGTATCCATTTGATCATGTGGTTATGGGTTATATACCTTGTACAACAGACTCCCATTCCCAACGGCGTTCTTTCAAAGCTATACACGGACTGTCTGATTTTAGACACAATGTTATAAGAATTTACACTAAACTTCGAATAGGCATTGTGAAAACCTGCTTTTTAATTTGCAGTATATGAAGAAAAAGTTATAAATAAATCCAAAGATGATGTTTTGTCCTGAGTTTTTAGAATGCTTAGTTTTGCGCGCCTCTTTGACTCTGAAAATCTAAATAATTTGATGTTTTTTTGGCAAATCAGTTCTGCTTCTAATTATTTTGCTATATTTAGAGTAACAGAAGTTTTAAGCTATATCGGATATTTTTATAGATGTTGTAAGGGTGTTTTGATATTTTAATGTGCTTTGTAAAACTTGGAATTATCCATGTATCGTCGTAGCCCAAAATTAAATGTTTAAAAAAATTCTAAATATAATACCACTATTATGTTAAAAATAAAACTACTGTTGATAATAGAATAAGTAGTAAGTGTTATTATTCCAACATTAATTGATAAATGTTTTGGCTGAAGAATTGAGTTTTATGAATTGATTTATTGCGGTTATCGCGATTGTTACATGATTGCAACTTGATCGAATAATTTCGACTGTGGAGATTAATGAGCTTTCGGTTTGTTAAAATGTTTTAGAGGCCTTTTGGAGTTTCGGTAATAAATCGAATTACTTTGTCGTCATCATCAATCAGCCCTTTGCATCCACTGCATGATATAGGCCTCCCTCATTTCTGCCCACTGTTCTCTATCTTGAGCGCTCCGCATCCAGTTTGTGGTTATTCTTTTGATATCGACCCAACATCGCGTGGGAGGTCTTTCCCTATTTCTCTTCTGAGCTCTTGGTCTCCACTCGATCAGCATTTTTGTCCATAGTCCATTTGTCATGTGGCCACATGTCCAGCCCAGCCCAGTTCCACTTAAGCTTACCCTCCTGGTATATACCTAACATCCGTGACCCCTGTTCTCGCTCGTAAGTCCTCATTTATGACGCGGTCACGGAGTGAAACACCTAGTATCGATCTTTCCATCTTGCGTTGTGCTATTCTGAGCTTCTTAGCAGATTTGGCTGTGAAAGTTAAAGTTTCGGCGTCATAGGTCATAACCGGTAGAATGCACTGATTAAAACTTTTCATTTTAAACAAATTGGGAAGTCACTTTTAAACACAGCTCCTAGTCTACCATACGCAGCACACGAGAGGTTAATTTTCCTTTTTAATTCGCATGTTTGGTTGTCGTTCGAGATTCGTATGTTATGACCAAGATATGTGTACTTATCCACTAGCTCCACCTCACAGTCACCAGAAGTAATATTTCCATTTTGATATATTCATTTTTAGCCCGACCTGAGCACATACGAGGGCGGTCCGATAAGTACTTAGCATACAAAAAAACCGAAAATTTTGGAAAAAGTGGCGATTTATTTTTAACATAGTCTCCTTTTAATTCGATACACTTGACCCAGCGATGTTCCAACTTGTTTAACCCGTCTGAAAATACATTTTCTCGAGGTCTGCAGAGTAGGCCTCCGTGATGGCGATGTTCTCCTCATTCGAGTGAAATTTCTGCCCAGCGAGTGACTTTTTCAAGTTTGGAAAAAAAAGTCCCACGGGGCCAAATCTGGAGAATACCAAGAATTTGGCCCTTGCGACGGCGGAGTTGTGAGCCGGTGCGTTGTCATGGTGGAAGAACACTTTTTTTATTATTTTTCTACAATTCGACCCCAAATCGGCCCAATAATTCGGTATAGTAGATAGATATGATCGTTTTTGACTGTAATCGTTTTTCCCTTCTCCAGGTAGTCGATGTAGATCACACCCTGGGACTCCTAGCAAACGGTGGCCATCACCTTTCCGGCCGATAGGACAGTCTTTACCTTCTTCGGGGCACGTTCGCCGGGTAAAGTCCACTATTTCGACTGTCACTTGGTCTCTGGTGTATACCAATAGATATATGTTTCATGGACTGTCACGAAACGACGCAGAAACTCCTTCGGATTGCGCCTGAACAGCGTCAGACCCTGCTCTGAAGGGGTCTCATGGTTTTGCTTGTAGGGAGTGAGCAAACGCGGCACCCATCGCGTAGACAACTTTTTCATGACCAAAATTTTAAACAGGATATGACCCTCGCGGTCTTGTGAGAAGCAACTGTCTCAGCTATCTCATGCATCTTCAATTGGCGGTCTACCAATACGATATCTTGGATTTTTATTTTCCGACGTGCGAAACCAATTTTTGAGTCCCCATCGAAGGAGTAGTGCTACCGTACACCGCATCGAAGCGCTCTTTGAGTTCAGTTCGTGATTTTCCTTCCAGAAACAAGAATCGAGTCACTGACGATATTGCTCTTTTTCCATTTTTCCACACGTGGTCAAAACAAAACTACGATTCCGAACTGCACGATAGTAATTTTTTCTTGTGATAGCGGCGTTGTTGGACGCAAAAGGCTTATCGGACGGCCCTCGTACTTTCTGGTTTTCTTTTCTAAGGTTTTCTAGCATTTTCCTGATATGTTGTAGGTTGTCGAAAACAAAACTACATCATCCGCGAACGCAGATTTGCTAGGTTCAGACCATCTACATATATTTAAACCCTTTCCTCTGCATTCGAGCATCCCGAAGACGTACTCCAGAACAGGGGTAAACAGTTTGGGTGACATAGTATCACTCTTTCGTAATCTTCTAGCGATTCTGATGGGGTTGGGATTTTCATGCAGTTGGCAGCATTTTTATATATGTTATATATTAGTATAGTGTAGCGGTAGGCGACACGGCATTTTTGTAAGGAGTTTGTAGTAAGGAGAATTACTTTGTCAATTCGGTGAATATCATATGGACCTTTGTGTTTACTAATGATTACTTTAATTGGGTAAACATATTTATGGAGTTACTTTTCGTTCTTTGTATTTTTCTGTGCATCATCATGTACATGCGTTTCGTTTCTTCCATATTTACTATGTATTTGAAAAATATTATACCATTGGACCACTTCACCCATCTCTTCTGTTCGAAGCTAATTTACTTTGTATTGGGAAGATTTCCAATATTATATTATTTGCTATTGCAGTAGGTTGCCAAACTATGTATTAAATTTGTACCATTTTACTATCAAAAGTGTTGTTTATAAATAATAAAATGTGTAAATCTGCTATCGTCAATATTTCAGCAAACCCAAGAAGGGGGCGAAGGAGACAAGAACCAAGCTACTGGATCCGGAGAGAAGAAGGACATCAAACAAGAAAAGAATGCCATAAAAAAGGAACAGCAAGTTAAAACAGAGAAAGACCGGGAAGCTCAACAACGGGCTAAAGAAGCAAAAATTGCTGAAAATGAATTAGTTCGAGATTTAAAAAACCAATTAAAGTAAGTAATTCTACTTTTAGAATTAAAGAAATAAAATAAATACTCTAGTATTTATTTTATTTGTGGCATTTTAGAAAAGCGTTAAATGAACAGAAAGAGATGAAATTATTGCTTGATATGTATAAGGGAGTTAGCAAAGAGCAAAGAGATAAAGTGCAATTGATGGCGGCAGAAAAGAAACTCCGAACGGACTTGGAGGAAATGAGGCAACAACTGAAGAAAATGCAGGTAAATGATATAATGTTTTAGATTTTCAGATGTTAGTCAGTGGAACTAAAAGATGATCAATATTAAATTGTATTTTCTAATATTATATTAAAGGAAAATAAACGTGACGACAAGCGTAAATTGGCAGAAGATGAAGCGCTGAAAAAAATTAAACAATTGGAAGAGCAAAAATATGAACTTCAGAAGCAAGTAGCCTTACAAAAACCTACAGACGGAAGTTGGCCTGGCGGTGTTCATCCCATGCGAGCATTTGTCGGGTCTCACGAAGAGGAAGCTTTACTTAATGAAATGGAAGTCACGGGCCAAGCATTTGAAGATATGCAGGTAAATTCACATGCAGTGTAAAATTCCTAAGCCCAAACAATATTTTCCCTGGATAAAAGGCTCCGTAAATCAAAAGATTACTAAATTATTCATATATAAATAAAAGAGACAGGAGTCGGCCTTTTTGTCATTACTAACAATTTTTCAGTCAGACATTACTAAAATTTGCATTTAAAACACTGTACATATTCTTTCAGGAGCAAAACTCAAGACTGATTCAACAACTTAGAGAGAAAGATGATGCCAATTTCAAACTAATGTCTGAGAGAATTAAATCTAATCAACTACATAAACTGGCAAGAGAGGAAAAAGATGTTTTAAAAGAGCAGGTAAGTTATTAAACATATACAACCTTCTTTGGTGTATATGAGTATTTTATAGGTTTCAACATTGACAACTCAAGTAGATGCTGCCAATTTAGTGGTTAGAAAGTTGGAGGAAAAGGAGAGAATTTTGCAAAACACTCTGGCCACAGTGGAGAAAGAATTACAGCTTAGACAGCAAGCGATGGAAATGCACAAAAGAAAAGCTATCGAGTCAGCCCAATCTGCCGCTGATCTGAAACTCCATTTGGGTAATATGAAATTATTCTGATCAATAAGTTAACAAATGTTTTTTGTTTTCTTAACTTGCAGAAAAATACCATTCTCAGATGAAAGAAGCACAACAAGTAGTAGCCGAAAAAACGTCATCACTAGAAGCAGAAGCTTACAAAACCAAGAGATTGCAAGAAGAAATTGCTCAATTGAAACGTAAAGCGGAACGAATGAAGAAGATGGAACTAGCAGGAACTACACTCGATGAAGTAATGATGGAGGAAATTAGAGAATATAAGGAAACACTGACGTGTCCGTCTTGCAAAGTTAAACGTAAAGATGCTGTGTTATCAAAATGCTTCCACGTTTTTTGCTATGATTGTCTTAAGACTCGTTACGAAACCAGACAAAGAAAGTGTCCGAAATGTAACTGTGCTTTTGGTGCTAATGATTATCATCGTTTGTACCTATCAAACTGAATAATCGAAATATTGACGTTTTTCGTATACTTGATATCTTTGACATTTCATGTAACGTTTTGGTTAATTTCTAGTAGCTTTCAGTGTGTGGTTACACAGCTGTATTAAAAATGACTTCTAAATATTTCACCATTATTACAAATTTTAGATTAATTCGAAAACTGCTATTTAATGTTTGTATTTTAAATACTTACATGTTAAATACTAACGAAAAGGTTGTAGCGATTAAGTTAAAATTATAGTCTTATGTGTATTTGATTAACATAGCGATATGTAATAGCTGGATTAAAATGGAACTACATATAGTATGTAAATAAAAGGCACAATTTTTAAATGAATATCCGAACTTTTACATTTTATTTATTTATTCTTATACATATTAGATAAATATTTAAAACAAATCGACAATTTGGACGAGTCCGTGTAATCGGTTCCTAATAAGTTGAGACAGGGCAACATTAAAGTGCAAGAGATCGTGCCTATGGGGAGTGTTACAACGTATATATTCCAGGTCGGGTATCTGCTTAGAAAAACTCGCAAACACCGACATAAAGCGGATCGTCTGTCGGTGTTTTGACGAAACATCAAAGGAATTTTGACGCTGCGCCGGCTCGGCTTGTGCTTGGCTCGTTAGGTCTGGACGCGGCACTCACATCGGAAACCACGAACATCTCTGAAGGGTGACGACATTGCCAATAAAACCGTAGAATAGCCCACACAGTTCGTTATTTCCAACAAGGTTCGGCTGGAATCTGTAGAAGATCCTTGTTTGATAATGTTTTTGTCCTGTGGAGCTGGTCACCACCAGAGGCGTTTCCGGTCGTTGCGACATTTACTTAATGCCCCGTAAATGGGGTGTCCGATGACCGCGGACATTTCATTCTTGCTTTTTTATGAAAGTCTTACATGTAAACACTTTTGTGCTAGGGGGATTTTCAGGGCCACCCCTTTACGATGTTTCATTCGGCCGCACTACGGTCATCCTTCACTTCAGGAGAAACACTGCTGAAAAGAAGGTTTGGACAAAATTAGGACTTCCTATGGCCGTTGCTCTTCCGTAGTTCTTCAAGTGACTTTGTTTTCAACTCGGTTTCCAGAAAATAATAGCTTTGTCACCTCAGAGCCTTGTACCTCTATGGGCGTTTGCTATCATCATAGGTAAACAAAGCGGACGGTTGAGAAAGGACTGTAGGGCATTGAAAACCGGAAATCATGCGAAATCCAAAAAGTTTTACCAAAAATAGCCAACGGGCTGTAACAAAATACAAATTGAAAAGGCCAACTGGCTTTATGAGAAAGAAATTTAACAAAACTTAATTCTAAAGAAATGTTCGCAACTTTTTTATATTCATTTGCAGGAGAGTAAATATGATTATTTTCATTTGCTTGTAAATATATGGGTATTTGTTTAAATGCTTGAAGAATATGAATCATTTATTTTATAAAAGTATACAAAGTGCATATAAAAATATTTGCACCTTGTGAGTTTGATAATGTTGGTGTATAATTGTGTCGAATATTCGAGTTATGACTATACATAATTATTCGCTTTTTGAATATTCAAATACTCGAATTATTCGAGTTTGATTCCGAGCCCTAGTTCGGACACAACACCAGCTCCACCAGCAAAGTTGAATTTTAATTGAAATATTAAAATAAAAAATCGAAGTTAAATAAAAGGCGATCAATGAACTGTCTAAGGAAGATCGTAAGATCTTAGATCCTTAAAAGGCAAAGGATGGAAGAAAAACGGGGATAAAATAGTGTACAATTCACAATCAAACCACCAATACCAAACAATCACTAATTGTTCCCAAATAATCGCGAAATGCCAATTCGGTTCGTCAAATAAGACTTACCTTTAATTTTGGAAACCACTTGGCACTCGTTAAATATAGTTTTTCTGTAGCAAACCGTTGTTTGGTTAGACAAGGCAAATATCCGCACACAAAACGGCGAAAATCTAATTCACTTTTGCCGGTAATTAAAAGTTACAAGCAGCCGGGTTCTGTTCACTTAAAGTAAACCGAAGCGCCCTCCAGAAACACAACCTGATCATAAAGAATGTAACTTGAACTTGGAGAAAAAACGGGACTGATTCTCTGACTCCCACTGTGCAGGCTTATTTACTGTACGATACGCGCGCTCCCGCTGTGCACGTCTTTTTTTAATTAGTTTTCATTAGCAGAATGTAATACTGGGGTTTCCCCGCACGACAGTATGTCTAGTGGTTCGTCCAGACCTAACGAGCCGAGCCTGATCCGCGGCAAATTCCTTTGCAGTTTCGTCAAAACACCGACAGAAAATGGATCGTCTGTCGGCTTCAGGCAATTATTTAGTAATTTTTACTACTTACATATCAAACAAGAATCGAGTCAATGACGATATTGCTCTTTTTCCATTTTTCCACACGTGGTCAAAACAAAACTACGATTCCGAACTGCACGATAGTAATTTTTTCTTGTGATAGCGGCGTTGTTGGGCGAAAAGGCTTATCGGACGCCCTCGCACCTTCTGGTTTTCTTTTCTAAGGTTTTCTAGCATTTTCCTGATATCTTGTAGGTTGTCGAAAAGCAAAACTACATCATCCGCGAAACGCAGATTTGCTAGGTTCAGACCATCTACATATATTTAAACCCTTTCCTCTGCATTCGAGCATCCCGAAGACGTAGTCCAGAACAGGGGTAAACAGTTTGGGTGACATAGTATCACCCTTTCGTACTCTTCTAGCGATTCTGATCGGGTTGGGATTTTCATGCAGTTAGCAGCAATTTTATATATGTTATATATAAGTTTACGCAGTCTGTCGGCTTCAGGCAATTATTTAGTAATTTTTACTACTTATAGATATAGTGTTCATAAAAATACTATTTCTAGAATTAGTGCAGTATTATATATATTAGAACGAAGTAACAATTACCAATTATAATCGTCGTCCAAAATAAGTCGCCTATTAATAATACTTCAACTTCAATCAACTTTAAGTAAGCTGAGTCAACACGCTGAAGTATGAGAATGTTGTTTTGAGAAGCTGAAATACAGAAGGATGTAAATATCTGAATTTGCAAATTAAAACAAAGTCACACGAAGCGCAATATAAATATTTTCCGGGGGTAATTTGTGGTTAAAATAACTCTAATGGGTTAAAAAACGTCTTAACGTTTTTCGCAAATGGTTACATTGAAAAAACTGCATTAAATTAAACAAATCTTTGCGTGCCACGTTTGTTTTGAGCGCCTAATATTTTAGAACAGAATTCAAGAGATAAAAATTTAAGATTTTTGGTTAACTAACTAGACGATGATAATAACTCCCTATATAAATTTGTATACTAAAGTTTTTTTACAAGTACCCGGTTCCCTCTTCACCCCGTATTCGCATTTCTTTGCTTAATCAGTTTATTGAATTTAAAGCATGTTTGATGAAAATCCAAAACGTCACTTTTGCGATTTGAATTAGAAGTATGTTCACAGGAGGACTTTTTAAAATTCGGCATTTGAATGATATTTAAATAAAGAATAATTTCAACATTCAACAAAAGCTACCAGTGGCCATATAGGTAGCATCAATTAAAGACTTAAAGCTGTATTTTTGCTAATAGAACATAGTTTCAATTTTGTTCCTCAACCTGTTTCAAAAATCAAAGCAAAAGACTTTAGATGGCGATTCTTTGTTGAAAATAAAAGGTGGCTTATAAAATGTTCAGCCTCCATAGGGAGCTCTCGCAGTGCAAAGATGAGTAGAGTGCAGTGCGAAAAAAGTAGAGTTTTCTTTAGAAACAAAAAACGAAGGAATGGTAAAATTTTGACGTGTACTACGACGTATTTTCAAGTTGGTTTATTTAAAGATTTGTCTCTATTTCCCGTTTTTTATTAAATGAAACACTTAAAAATCAAATAAATGTATATAAAATATCGTATTTTAATCATCTAGTTACTGGTACTCAGTTACATGCAATGGTTACTCGAAAAACCGTATATCGTTAAGGCGGTTCAAAAGAAAAGTGGAAAGCCTTCTTGGGGATTCGGGCCTAGCGAGTGAAGCAAAAAAAAAATTTTACCTACCAAGATTTCGGCAATTTATTTTTTTGCCTTCAGTGCTAGAAGGGCAAACAATTCTTGCAATCACTGCATACTCTTATTATATGAGGTTGACCGCGGATTGGCACAATTCATCTCATAAGGCTGCTCAATTTCCCCTCATTGGGTACACGTCTATTTATATTTGAATTTCATATTGCAGTTTAGTGTTGAAGTTACGTTTTCCGGCGAAGAGGAATGGAATAGAAAAGTAGTTATTCTTCAAACTAGTACTTGATACGAGAGATATCTAAATAGGGTGTCAGTTTGTAGTTGCAGGACTTTTTGAGATACAGGGTGGCATAGTTAACATTTTATTTCATTTTTTTAAATAATTTACGCAAATCTTACGATACCGTAATATAATTCTATATTCTTGGGCTTATCCCAATTCATCCAATCATGTCGCATCAGTTTTCGACAAATTTACAGAGAGCACCACTGGCACTAATATTTAATTTTTAAATTATAACTTTTTTGTGCCAAACCGTATCAACCTGATTTTCAAATAAAATCGTTTTGCGCTCATATTTACAAAACAATGGCATTTTTGTTTGAAGTCGCTAACAGAAACCGTTTTAGAAACTTTTACAAAAAACATTTTAATTTGAAATTAAATTTTCAACGACTGCGATAAGTCTCAGACTGTAGAATTCTGTTACAGTATCTTACGATTTGCGTAAATTAAAAAAAATGTTAATTTTGTTGTTTGTTAAAAAATGTTTTTTAGTGCGAGAGAGTCAATTATTTCCGTTGGTGTTGAACTTTCGAAAAATAGTTTCATATAAAAGTTGTTGACGCACAAAGTGCGCACAATTAAAACATATCTTATATGATACAGAGTGTCTCAGAAAAGCGAGGCAAGATCAAAGTGTATTTTTTTAAATAGAACTACTCATTTTTCATTAGCTCATGGAATGCAGCTTGAAACGGTGCATATGCACCGTGAATTGTTTTTTTCTTACTTGCGACGTTGGCAGATTATCGCCATTTAAGTAAAATTTTGCATAAAAACATGTTATCTAAAAATTCATTGTAGAAGCAAAAAAAAGCAGTTAAAGATACAAAAAAATACGTCTTTCTAATCACCCCAGATCCGTTAAGAATTCTATTGAACCAAAATATCAATACATTGTACAAGGTGTTAACAATGTGGACTTCAATCTAAAACTTTTTAACGCAATATAACTTTCGTTTTTCAAATGAAAGTACCTGTATTATACCGTCATTAGATAGACAATTTACAAAGTTACAAATTTGCTTTTACACTTTAAGCTGCGAAATCAACCGTTTTCAAATTATAAATGATTTTATTTAAAAATTTCAAAAAGTTGTTGCATTTTGTAAGGTGGCTATGGAGTTCTTTTTTTTCAAACTCTCAAATGGCGTTTTTAAAGTTATAGCTCATCTCTCCTTTTTCCGAGATACCAAGACTTTTTTGTTTTGTGGTAGAAGTTACGCCCCCTAGCGGTCAAGCTACGAACTTCAATACATTTTACAGCCATTTTTTATTGCAACTTTACTTATAAAGATTTTTTTCCGAAACAGTTAGTGCTTACCGTTGTCGAGATATAGCCGCTCTTTATCGGGACACCCTGTACTACGATAAGTATGCCACCAACGTGTTTTAATGTCGGTAGCATTTTCATTAAATTTTCCATTTTTTCGCCTTCTGCTTCAAAAAAAAATGAAGGTAAATTTACTTGCTACCTAATGTTTAAAACCACCTTCTACTTTCAATAAAGAATCACCTTCCGATGATTTACATTTTTGGATAAACTGGAGAGCAGGCGCCTTCGTTTTTGAAAATATTTGCTGCAGGTGCCAGCGAAACGTCGCACAGAAATATTAAGAAATCATGACTTTTGAGCTCTAAATTTAGTTCTACATGGCATTCATCTCTGAACTTAATTCAATTTTGTAAATTGATTCATTCTCTATAAATACCCACTTTTTCGTATACGTACTGTAACAAATAGTTCATAATTGAGGTAACCAATTGGCACAGCATCCATCCGAATAGTTTTCTGAGAGTTTAGTATAACCAGAGGAATTAAGCTCTGTAATTTTGGGTTCAAATTGTACCAATGAGTTGAATACAAGAAATCTCCTACCGTTTTCATCTAAAACATTCATTTAATGATACACGTTATATGCATTAGGATTTTCATATACTTACCTTATATTCTAATCTCTGTCCACAATAGCACATAATAAACATATTGATTACATAAATAATTTCAAAGAAAAATGCGTTTTCCTGGTAGAAGTTCTTTGATGTCTGTAAGTAATTAATAGACGTTAGTATTTTATTTCAATAATAGTTTCGGTTTACATAAGTGTATAGATGGATAGGTACAATTTCTACTTCTGAAATCTGAAACTAAAATTATCACATTTTTTCGACGTGAGTTGAGGAATCTTTCGCTAAGCAAATAAGGTGCTGAGGTTTTGTTCAGCTTTTCTTTTAACGCACCATCATTTTAAGCAGTTATGTAAATTAGTGGTACAAACTGTATTTATTTGTTTCAGCAATTGCTTTGCTTTTAAATCTACTGCTTATCTTGAAGCGTTTCCACAATATATTTAATACATTTTTATTTTATTTTGTCAATTTTGAAAAAATACTGCATTGAGAAGATTAATTCATATTTAGTGGGGGGATACAATACTTTCGGATACAAAATGTGTTATACATAAAGGTGTACCCATAACATGACAAGATAAATATAAAAAAAATATTTGTATAGACTCCTCCAAGCCAGATATATATATACGCTCAAAAAGTAACTTTTAAAGCCATTGAAAAACTAAATTTGATGATTTTATAATAGCACACATACTATTTAAGGCCTCATAAAATAGTGTCTTTGAAAGGCATTTTGCTGCTTGAGATTTCCTAGAACAGACAAATTTGTACACTTTGATGTTAGAGTAGCAATCAGAGACAAGGGAAGGTCACTCCTTCACTTGGTTCTGGTAGCAATTTTGCTGTGAAAACCACTCATCGATATGGGGATTACTTTATGTTGAATTTGTCCAAAAAACATGCAATCAGAATTCGCCTGAGGTCACTGAAACGAGCGACGTGCTAAATGTTGCACTTGCACTGACCGTCGCTTTTTGGCATTAATTTTTTTGATTTATTTTCTCCGACTAGCTTTAAGCAGTGCAAGTTCTGATACCACTTGTTTACTTTAACCCATTTGAGAGGGGAGTGACAAATTTGAAAAAGACGAGATTTCATGTTTGTCGTGAACATTTGGTATTTGTTAAAGCGAAAATAAAAAATCAATGCAAGAATGTCTCTCAGTTTTTCTATGTTCGTTTTATCAATCAAAACGCTTTTGTTCAGGCAAGTGCGCAACTCGCGAAACAAATTTCAAGAAAAATTGTAAATTCTCTAGAAAACCATTTAGTGCATCGCAATTTTGATGCAAAATTCACCATTTTGAGATAATTTTAGTTGAAAATGAGAACCCTGTCAATGGAAGATTTTTCAAGGAAATAATGTAATCAATATGTATCAATTCACTCATAAAATTTCTGTTGCCAATTTAATGCCAAGGTAATGGCAAATATTGTCAATTTTAAGAAAAAAAATCATAACAGCGGTTCTTAACTCGATATTCTTACCCTAAAAATATTAAATTTTAATTTAAAATATTTAAATAATACACGTTTTATGGAAAACGTTTCATTTTATCCATGTGAAATACTGAGTACTTAGTAGAGGTGTGATAAACGGTTATTTGTCTGTAACAGGTTACAGCGTCCCAGTTTTTTCTTGGTAACAAATATCAATATAAACAGTATTTCATTCGTTTTGTGTCCGATAATGGACAAAATTAATACTCCAAATGCATGCCAAGGCTTAAAGCAGCAACAGCGCTAGACATGTAAGTAAACATATTTAAGTATCTGATCGAAGAATTCTAGTCTCTTCCTAAATTTGATTGTCCTGACTAATCACCTGTTAGGCCTAATTAATGTTAGAATGTTTTAAAGTATTGCAATTGTGATGTATTTTAATGTGTGATATGATGAGGCTGTTGACAAACTGTGGTTGTTTTTTAAATTAATAAAAATTTTTTTTAACTATCTGTTATTTAAAAAACGGATGATGGTGGAAAAATACACCGAAACGTATTTTAATTTATGAATAACGACAATAAATGACTGAAACCCAGGAATGAAATTAATAATTAATAAAATTAAGTTTTTTAAATTAATATAAAGTTCCATACTTTGTGATATTTTGATAGGCACTTTTACCAGAAAGTTGAGACCATTTGTTTTGTGTCATGGAGTCCTGATAACTAGAACTCTTACTTCTACAATAAAATTCAATTTTCGAACTGATGTCCATAACATAAATATGAGATTTAAGGGAAAGTTAACGACGCCATCACATACACCTGCCTTCTTCAAGCGGTCTTTTTTATACCGAATAGCAATGTACTACTTTAACAGTATTTCTGGTAGCATTATAGCGATATCTCCGGTTCAATTCAAACGCCTAATTCTCCAAACTTTTCTCACCTAGCTGTAGGTTTAGATTTTAGCCAATTAATGTTTTCCCACTTACTAAGTACTTTTCCTTAGTCTGCATTCTGTGCTGTGTGGGTTTTTTGGAATTCAG